AAAAGAACACTCGAAAATACACTCTAGATAACTTAAAAACTCAATGTAAAGATCAGTAAAGATTTCCTCCCAATTAGAGCTACCTGACGTCAGCGTCGAAAACGATTTTTTTCGTAAAGAATTAATCAAGTTTTTCAAATGTTTTAGTTTAAATAGCTGCAAGATTAAGTGATATCTCGAATGCTGAATGAAAGAAACGAAATTAATGACAATTGAACTTTTCAAAGACCCCAAATAATAGTTTTTGACTCTAAGAATCGGTGCTTCAGGGACATCCCATTTTTTTAAATTTAACACCGTCGGAGTTATTTTTAATAATTATGTCATAGTGTTGTTATTGTTGTGTCATATCAAGAATATGAAATAATTTCTACTTGATATTTTACAGCATATTAAAATACAATATTAAGAAAATAAATATTAACAAAATAGAGAGAAAAGGGAGAGCAGTGAAAAAGAAGTAAAATAGTGAACATGAAAGGTTTCTTTTTGGATAAGAATAATATTTAAGGCACTTTTCCTATGTGACGGTTTGAAAAAATCGATTTTTTTTTGCATGTTTCGAAAGTACAATATCTTAGAAATATCGTGTAAAAGTTTTAGACAGATATTTGAAAAACTAACAAAGTTACAGCGCGTAAAATTAAACAGCGGTGCATGGGCGCGAGCTACAGCTACCAAAACTTTAAACGCGTTTTTCTCAAAACCACTTTTTTCTAACTGGTGACAAGGATTACTCAAAATCTATTTAACCGATCGGTCTGCAATTTGGAGGCATTATTCTACACATGAGTGGCTATCGTGTGAACCTCGGTCATGATTTTACATAAACATTTTCCTATTTTTTTTAAACAATTTGTTTACGAAAAAACAAGCCATTTTTGAAATTCTTATTTAACAGTCCGACATTTTGTTATTTATTAAGATAAATTGTTTATTGAGGTTCACACGATAACAGTAAGCCTAGTGAGTAAAACTACATTTGATTTTTTATTTCAGACAATACTGAAGAAAGTTATCGTTGCGACCGTTCACCTATGCATTTTCAAAGGAGTCATCTTTGACTCATAAAAATAATTATTAAATGATTTGAAATATCACTAAAAAAAATTTTTTTGTATATTTTTAGACACCAATTATAACATGTAAAATAAGTTATAGAATTATATTTTATTTTCTGTGAAAAAAAATTCCTGAAAAAAGCCTGAAATTTCGGCCGTCACATAGGAAAAGTGCCTTAACGGTGAACATTAAGAAAAGTGAGTGAGAGCTATTCATAATATATCAAAAAGAAAAAAAAAGATTCTGTTTTATTTTTTTGTGGAAAAAAGAGAGAATGATATACTTGAAACTAGAGCAATGATAATAATGGTGCGACAGAAGCAAGCAAAACGATCGATTACTCTTGAAGCATCTTGGAAAAGGCTACTTTGTCTCGTCTATCTATGTACTCCCTAGCCCGCCGAACGAAAGTAGGGTACTGACTGGATGATCTAGTGAGTCCTAGCGGTTTGCCTGTATTGCTCATCTCATCTACATTCATGACAATCATCCTAAGTAGTAGCAGTTGAGTTGTGATGATGATATGTAGTAGCAGTAGTTGATTAGTTAAAAACAGTAGCAGTAGTTGTGAATAGTAGTAGATTTAGTCCTAGCAGGTAGCATTGCAGAATGAAGCCGTCTCGCACAGTATCAGTGGGGTGAATAGTACAGTACTTCTAATAGTAGCTAATAGTAACTCTTGTACAGTACTTGTTATTGTTATTCCAGTAAATCGTTTATCTTAGTGCTTGTAAAATGTTATAACTCAGAACTTGTAATTATGTTATTTTCTCACTTGTGAATGTTATCCCAAGTGTTATTCTTCATTATCGATATTTGTATCATTAATAGTACTGATTTATTGTACAGATAGTAAAAGTTGTTGGTAGTAAACTCTTTAAAACTTTTTTGGTCGTAAAACTTTTTTAGTAGTTGTAAAAGTTTTTGGCAGTTGTGTATAGTAAAACTGTTTTGGTAGTTATGGTAGAAGTTTATTTAAGTTTCAGTTGCGGTAGTAATAGTAATAGTAAAAGTAGTGGTAGTAAAAGTAGTAGTAATAAAATAGTGGGTGATGTATCCCACCGCAAAAATCGTATCGTATTTTATTCTTTTCAAATTGATTAAGATCGATCGATTATTCTCGGGTCGATCTGGGACTGGTCTGGGTACTGACTCGTCTCGTTAGCGGATGTTGGGCTTACTGTTCCGCCTCTCTATGATAAATACACTCTCGTAATCTCGATTATCGAGATGGAGTGCGTGATGATCACGGTCACGAATCGGGGGGGCCTCGTGGACCTGCTCCGAAGTGACATTGCCGGGGGTTACTTGCGTAGGAAGTGGTTGATGAAGAGGTTGTGGTTGCGGATTCAACGGGCTGCAACGGGTCAGCGTCGACACTGACTCGCCGCACGCGTTTAAGTTTGTCGACCTACAGAACACAGAGGACAAGAGACACCACGTTGTGTCGAGCCATGATTCGAAATGATTCCAACAAAAAAAATCATTTTTTCTTTCTCTCTTCTAATCGTCCCCTTTCATAAACACATCGAGTTTCATTCTCTTCTTTCATTTCCTTTCAGTATTTATAAATTAAAAAGAACTTTTATTTTTATCAATTTTTTTTCAATAAATCATTTTTAAATCCATTTTTTAAATTTTGCCTTTCAAATAAGAAATAAAAAATCAGAAATAAAACTCAATGTGTTCTCTCACGTTTTTCTTTCTTCAAAAACAAACTACTTTGAAAAGATTTATTTCTTTTTCTTTGAAATTGAAACTTACAGAATCTTTGGCAGTTAGCTGAACCGAATAGCCCGTTCTGGATATGTACGATCAGAATCTTACATAATCTAAAAGTTGCTAATGAGAAAATAAAATAGTAAAGTCAGTTTTTTCAAAATAAAGGAAAATATCAATTTTCCGGTCTGCGGATTGTTTTAAAGTTAAATGATTAAGTCATAATCCAGAATAGGCATCACTGCAGTCGTATTGTGGACTTTTGGATGCCGTGTCGAGAAACGATTGTGTGTGTCATCGATGAGAATGGAATTCTAGACTTGACAAAGTGGGCAATACCAAGTTGGCCTAAGGACCTAAAATTAGGTTTTTCTCCATTAAAAAAAGAAAACCTCGTCCAAAATACCTCTGCTGGTGCGGTTTTTAGGTCTGCCGGTCTCTAAATGCAAAACTAAGAGTTTTATTTTAATAGTCTTATGTAGACAAGAAGATAAAAGGATAAAAACCTTTTCAGTTTTACTTTTGGGTTTAACTTTATGTAATGGAGCAATCTTGCTCTCTTTCATCTTCGATCATCTAAATTTACAATAAAGGCATTTTTAACTAGATCACTCGTGAGAGGTTTTTCGCATTTACTGTGGTGCTTCGGACGCCTATTACTCGGGGACTTGTATGTTAACTATTTCCCTAACCCTAATCTTCCAGGTCGCATTTACTATTTTCTAAAATTTACATTTGAAAAAAGTAATTTTTAAAAATTATTTTCTGAAACAAATACATAAACTACATTCAAACTTTCCTAATTTAGTTCTTTTCTCTTTTAGTTCACCTGCTTTGGAATTAGCGAGCGCGAGACTAAGAGAAGCGGCTCCCCACCATATTGGCACTTCTCCCAACTTTTCGACTCTCTACGTAACGTATGAGTCTATCCCTTCGCTTACCCCTTCTCCTACTCTCAAACTCACTATCTACTTTAACAATTTTTTTATTTCTTTAAAATTTATTAATTACGAATACTTTTTTCAAAGTAAAATTTAATATTTTTTCCAATATTTATTCAATTGAACTAGATTCTAAATTTCAAACTTAGTAATTAGTCTATATTTGAAGAGAAGAGAAAAATTGTTTCTCTTTTGTGTCGAATTAGTGCAAATTGTTAGTAAGTGCGATCTGATCGTTCTAAATTCTTAATATATATATGTCGTAGGCAGATAGCATAATCCGGTAGTATGCAAACTGCCTAGGCAGTTTGTAAACCGCGGGCAGTTAGTAAAATGCCTAAATTTGAATGTATAAAAACAGGTAATAAGCAAAGTACCTAGGCAGTTTACATACTGCCAAAGACGTTTTAGGTAATTAGAAAAATGTATATTGAAAGTCACAAAATATTGTTTATCTGGAACTCTTGTTTCAATTAAAGTAGCATAGATTAATAGAAACACAATTTAATAAAAAATATACTCCCATAAAATTTTTTTTTCTCTTTTGTTGAAATATATGATTAAATAAAAAAATTTGTAAACAGTTTTCAAAATTCTACCTCCACAGATTGCTGAACAATTGAGGCCTTGGATCGAATAACTCGCCTGACGCTCGAAGACACGCGCTAATACCAGTCGGGCAGCAGTGAGTGGCCCAGAGGCGCTCACTGCTCACTGACTGGCAGTTGCGCGTTCCTCCGAGCGTCGGGCGAGTTATTCGATCCAAGGCCTCAATTTAATAAACTTTCATTTTAAAAAAAGTTTATTCAAAACAAATAATATTTGTAACCTCTAGACAGGCAATAAAAACTTCAATTTTTAATAAATAATTAAAAAATTAATTTTTTTGAAAACGCACATCAGAAATGTTTTTAGTAAGGCTTACTACAAAAGATTATGAAAAAAATATTTGAAATTTGAAAAGTCCATTTCAGGTGGCCTGTTGAGAAATTTGACCCCATTGCTACTTTCAATACATTTTTCTAATTGCCTGAAACGTCTTTGGCAGTATGTAAACTGCCTAGGTACTTTGCTTATTACCTGTTTTTATACATTCAAATTTAGGCATTTTACTAACTGCCCGCGGTTTACAAACTGCCTAGGCAGTTTGCATACTACCGGATTATGCTATCTGCCTACGACATATATAAACTAAAAAAATTAATTTTTCTTTAATTCATCATTATTTTAATAATAATTTTTAGTATGAGAATAGAAGTTGGAAAACTTGAGACTCACTTTTTTAAAGGCACTGTTCCTTGGGGTCCCTGTCCTGCGCCATTCCGGGCGTCAGTGGACCGGCACGCTACCATATTATACGCTGAAAGCAGTTCTATAATGTTACAAAATTTTATTAACTCACAAAATTGTTCAAAATTCGGATGCCTGCCTAGCCCCTGCGTTACCATTTCATCGTTCTTGAAAATTAAATCCAACCTAAATTCATTTTATAAAGAAAAAACAAATTATTTCAATTATCATTGTGGGGATTATTCACAAAATGCTGGACAAAATTCAATTTTTTGAGGTTCAATATGATTTATGTGAAAGTTTTTTTTGGTATAATAAATAAATACGATATTTTTAACTTAAGTAAAAAATAATAAAATCTTTTAAGCCTTCTTGTTTGAATAGACATTGGTTAAAACCCCCGAATATCGAGTTTCAAACAAATCAGATCAATTTTTTTATAACTCATCGGCCATATTGGATCCGACATTTTGAATTTTTAAAAAATAATATCAAATTCATAATCAGCGACCAAAAAAACCCTCGAGTAAAAAGATTCAAACGATTTCAACGTTTTTAAGGAGGAATGGTATAGAAATTCAAAACATTCAAAATCTTTTGATATTTTGGGAAATGATTCGCTTTTATATAATAAAATTACCCACCAAATTTCAGAATTTTTCACTAAATAGTTTACAAGTTAAAAATTATTTAATTTAAGGGGTTACGCCACCCTGAACGCATGAAAATCGGATGGTTTTTTAGGAATTTTTTTGATAAAACTGTTTCAGGTAGGACTTCTTTACATTTATTGATGCTTTAGTACATATATTGAGCTTTATAAATATTAAAAAAAATTGTTTTTAATTAAAAATGGCGGAGATATAACTATTGGCGTGGATCAATTTTTCCGGAGCACTCCTTGATGGTGTACATGATTGGCAGTTCAATTTTTGTCAGAAACAAGTAAAACAATATTTTTCTTAAAAAGTGATAAATTTTGAACAGAGTGACGAAGCCATTTAAAAAAAAAAATTTTTTACGCAAATGGAAGCACTTCAAAAATTGACATTTTTTTTTTGGCTAAAATTACCGTATAAAAAATTGGATAAAAAATTTTCAAATTATTCAATCAAAAAAATCCCACGTCACTCTGTGCAAAATCTATTTAGGAAGATGTATATTAATTTTCAAGTCAATCGATTGAATAGTTTTTGAGTTATCGTGTACACCGTCTCGAAAATTGTGGTTTCGAGAAAAACGCAAAAGAAGAAAAAAAATGAACTTTAGTGTATTATAACTTGAAAATTTTTCAATTTACTATTTAATCAGCAATTCCTGGGCCATAATTTTTTTTATTTAAGAATGGAAGGGATACAATGAAAAGGACCCTTCCTAAATCATGAAAGGGCCCCCTAGACCATTCGAAAATAGAAAGTCGCTGCTTCCAGCAGCTCTCGGCGCGTCCCCACCGCGCTGACTTCTAATGACCATAACTTTTGTAATTAGTGAGACATTGTCTTCGGCGACATCTCAAAATATTCGTTAGAATATAAACTTTGAAATTAAGCAAAAAAAAAAAATTAATTTTTTTGAAAATTTCAGGGTGGCGTAACCCCTTAACATTACCTCTTATGGAGAAAGCACGAATTTACATGTTTATCATTAAAAATTTAATACTTAAAACATTCAGAATTTTTTGTAAAAATTGTATCTTGAAGGTCAAGATTTAAGCTTTATTAATCACGAAGGTTCTTTTTTATTCACTAAGTAGTTAAAAAGTAATTAATTAGTTTCTGGAAGAAAACTAATTTTATGACAGACAAACAGAGAAAACGTGGCGAGGTTGTCACGATTAAACGCTCATTACAAATTGTTATTTGACAATGTTTATAATTAATAACATTAATATTACAGCATAATAAGACACATGTATACGTAATAATAGCATTTTTTCAAAGTTTGCAAGGGAATACTCGATAAATCCGAAAATAATTTTTAGAGAATTTCAGTAACTTTTATTTTCTTAGGTTTTAAATTCGTACAGACAGTAACAAAAATTATTTTCTGCTTTTATAAAAAACAATTAATTTGATTAATTTATTATCTTTTCTTTATTTAATATATACTTTTTAATATTTATTGATGTCTACTTTCATGATTTCAATAAGAAAAACTGCTAAATGTAGCTTAAATAAAAATATTACAAATTCCCCTAAATGTCACAAACTTTTGGCCCAATTAGGTATACCATTCCTCCTTAAATCTCGGCCGCCGTATTGGATCCGCCATTTTGAATTTTTAAAAACCGACAAAAGATTCATAATCAGTAACCCCAAAAACCCCCGAGTAACGAGTTTCAAATGAATTTAATCAATTTTTTTTAAACTCGTCCGCCATATTGGATCCGCCATCTTAAGTTTTAAAAAACTGATATTAGATTCATAGTCGACGACTCCAAAAACCAGCGAATAATAAAATTTAAACGAATCGGATAAATGTTTAAAAACCATTCGACCATCTTTGATCTGCCATTTTGAATTGTTAAAAACTGACATCAGATTCATAAACAGCAACAATGAACATCCTTAAGTAACAAGTTTCCATCAAAATGGTTAAAAGTTTTTAAATTCGTCGGCCAAATTGGATCCGCCATTCTGAATTTTCAAGAACTGACATCAGATTCATAACACTGGGTTACAAAAAAATGTTCATGTCGTGTTTATTTAAAATTTCCTGTGTTTATTGAAAGTTTAGGTGTCACTGAACAAGAATATACCAGAAAAAATTTTTTTATTTGGTCATTCCTATAAAAAACGAGATTAAAGTAAACGAGATTACATTAAGAAAAAAAAGTCGGAATTTTTTTGATCTCACCCCCCGGAATTGAAGTTTGTAGGAAAAAAAAGCCCCTGTTTTTTTTCTTCATAATAAAATAGTATTAACCCGTGCCTCAAAGCCCCTCAAATTTCTTATGTATTTTAAATGAGAAAAAAACCATTTTTCGTAAATTTAATATAAAATCTAGAGAAAATTTTTTTTTCACTCGGTTAAGGATGATTCTTCTAGAGTATTTAAGGAATAAAATCCTTTTACATAAATTTAACAAATTTTTTATTTTTTATATTTTTTTTAGATTTGAAAAATTCTCAAAAAAACGGTAATATATTATTTTTTATTACTTATCATTTTTTTCATCTATTGTAATTCAATTGGCTTTTATGAATCTATCAAATATTAAATTCATAAAACCAATTGTATTACAATCAATGAGAACAAATTATAATAACGAATAAAAAATAATAAATTACCGTTTTTTGCTTTTTTGAGAATTTTTCAAAAATAAAAAAATAGGTATAGAAAATAAAAAATTTGTTAAATATGTAAAAGGATTTTATTTCTTAAACACTCTAGAAGAAAAACATCCTTAACCAAGTGAAAAAAAAATTTTCTCTAGATTTTATATTAAATTTACGAAAAATGGTTTTTTTCTTATTTAAAATACATAAGAAATTTGAGGGGCTTTGAGGCACGGGTTAATATTATTTTATTATGAAGAAAAAAAACAGGAGTATTTTTTTTCCTACAAACTTCAATCCTGGGGGGTGAGAGCAAAAAAATTCTGACTTTTTGTTTTTTGGACCACCCTAATAACCAAATGAAATAGTATATTAAGCAACAAGAGGATAAATAGGCAGCCATTTCTTTACGATGATTTTTGTGACACGAGTGGAGGTCGAGGGCGCCCTCGACCTCCACTCGTGTCACAAAAATCATCGTAAAGAAATTGGCAGCCTTTATTCTCGTGATACTTACGATATTTGTTATTCCTAATGCACAAAAGTGTCGTTTTCAGATAGCAGACGACAGGGAGTAAAAGTCATTCACTTGTTCGACTTGTATGAAAATGGCGGCCGTTTTCTCCCATGGGCAAGAAAAACGCATGGGAACAGCTGATTTTCTTGCCCATGGGAGAACACGGCCGCCATTTTCATACGTATGCTATCAGAAAGCGCCATTTTTGTGCATGTGGGATAAAATTTTTTTTTCTGGTATATTCTTATTTAGTGACACCTAAACTTTCAATAAACACAGGAAATTTTAAATAAACACGACATGACCATTTTTTTGTAACCCAGTGTAATCAACGATCCCGAAAACTCCAGAGTAACGAGTTTAAAACAAAGGATATCTGATCAATATTTTTAAAACTTGTCAGCCATATTGGATCTGCCATTTTGTATTTTCAAAAATTGACATCAGATTCATATTCAATGACTTAAAAAAAAACCCCACGAGTTACAAATTTTAAACGAATCCGATGAATGTTAAAAATTCTTTGGCCATCTTTGATCCGCCATTTTGAATTTTATAAAACATCAGATTCGTAATCCGTGACATTAGAAACTGCTATATAATAACAAGGATTAAACGAATCTGATAAATATTTTTATAAACTTTCAGCCATTTTGGATCCGGCATTTTGAATGTTTAAAAACTGATTTTGAATTCCAAATCAGTGAACCCTAAAGGCACACTCTCACCTCTACAGCCTGCATGCCTGCGCAGGAAGGCGCAACGAGAGTAAGAGAGAAAAAACATTTGATTTGAATTTTCTGACTCTCTTACTCTTATGAGTTACCATGACAACCTGCAGGCTGGCAGGCAGTAGAGGTGAGAGTGTACCTTAAAACCCCCGGGTAACAAATTGGAGGGAATTTGAAATCAAATTTAAATTCTGTCAAGGTTTTTGGAAAATGCCCCATTAGTATCAATTTCAGTAGAAATACTTCTTGAAAAAATATGATGAAAGAGAATTTTAAGAGAGTAAAGTTTCCGTTACAAATGAAAATTATTTTTTAAAAGTGTAAATTTTAACAAAATATTGTATTTTCCATCATCATATTTCAAAACTGAAAAAAAAATAAAAAGAATCTGAATGAACACAATTTGTCACACCACGTAGAAAATGACAATGAATGACCCAATCTTCGAAGTTGTCAACGAAGTGAGGAACGACTTTTTGGAGCACAGGTGCCGGCCATAAGCGGGCAATATGTTGTAAACTTGAAATAATTTCAGGGTTCATACCTTTTTCCTGTTTTCGTCGCTTCCGTTTATTGCATATTTTTACCGCACATATGCTGAGGATGATGGCTACGATGAAGAAGAGAATACCGCCCACAACACCAGCGGTTATTGCTTTATGCTTCACTCGAGCCGGCACTGGGAATTTCACTTCATCACTTGCTCCGTAATTTGTCGAAGAATTGGCGAAGACTTGAAAATGATAAGTTCTACCTCCGACTAAATTCTTCACTGCTCAAGAAAAGAGAAAAAAAAATTTTATTTCCATTACATCTACACGGAGAAAAATGGATATTTAATGTAAATATCTAGATGTTAAAGTTTAATATTTTTATTCTTTAACATAGGGACAGCTATCTAGATATTAAAAGTAAATATCTGGATGTTAAGCGTTAATATCTAGCATGTGATTTGAATATCTATATATTAAAGTTTAATATTTTTGATGTTAAGGGTTAATATATTTTTTCAATATCTACTTTTGAATATCCAGTTTTCTCCATAAAATATAACTAACAAAAAATATTTCTTTTTTTTCATTCAAAAAATCCATTTTCTGCGGTAGAGAAATTTTTTGAGAAAAAAGAAAAGATAAATAACGAAAGAATAGACGCGTTCAATCGCACTGAACTATATTGTATATAATAATAAAAAGACTCTCTCACCTAGATAAAAAGTATCTTCGGGTCGAATTCGCGCTTTGTTGAGATCCTTCCAAGGTCCATCAGTTCTGTATCTGATTGTGTAATATTGTACCAGATGAGTTTTCTCCGCCGGATGCTGCCACGAAATAATGAAGCCATTCTCCTCCTCTCTCACTGTTACATTCCTTGGTGGACCCGGTTTTGGTCCTGATAAACCAAAATTCCGTATAATCAAGTTAGTAACCTGGAGGGGGTAGAGGAGGGGTCTTTTGCCCTCTCTCACAATATGTAAAATTAATAATTGAATCCCACGCCACAACAACACTCTCAGTTATGAAACAATTTATTGTTTCATAAAGCAATATTCTAAAGCACGTTTCACAATTACTCAAGAAATTACTTAAATTCTATTCTTATGAAAATGAAATTTCAACCATGTAATTATAATTTTACTTATATATGTACAATGAAATGACCAATATATACCATATGGACTAAAACAAATTTATTCCCTTATTGTTTATAGTTTACCACCGTTGTTTACATTTCACGGGGTATGAAAACAAAAAGAATCAAATGAGATATACGAAATGTTATTATTTATTGAAACTTGATACTTAATGGGTACAAATACAAAATAATCTAATTTGGTAAATTAAACTATTGTAAGGGAACAAAATAATATAATTTGTTAAATTAAATTACTGGTGTGTGGAATAGTTAAAGCGGATTTATTAATTTGGTGTAAATAAACGAAATAATCTAATTTAGTTAAAATTAATCTTTGGCTTATATTTAGTGTAACGATCATAATCGTTTTGCGAATTAAATTCTAATTAAATATGACATTTCCAAATGGTTATCCTTGATGCTATTGGAATGAGTGTATGTTTTGGGATACGAAATTCAATTTTCGCGGGTTTAATCATGGCGCGCATGGTGATTCGAGTTAGCAGACGACAAAAAGCGTTCGCTGATGGGGTGAAACCACGGTGAAACGAAAAAAACTGATCAAAGAGATAGCAAACGTCGCGTTGTACAAATTCTGTACATGCGCTTCTTATTATTGTTCTATTATTCTTGCAAATTAATTAAGGTTTTTTTTCTAAAGGCCACTCCCAAATGAAGTACAAATGAAGTACACCCCAAATAATTATTAGATTAATTACTGGATCAAATAGTGGATGAATCACTGGATTAATTGCTGGAAATGCAGTAAATTCTTTCCGAGTCAGGTAGTGTAATAAAATTAGTAACACATTATTTTTTAACGTTTTGACGACAACGGCGCACAGAGGGAAAAAAGCGACTTATCTTATTCCAAAATTCACCAACAACACAAATTTCAATATATTTCTATGTTTCCGTGGTGAATACGGAAATCAATGGGTCCCAATGCGGTGCCAGTTTTAAGCTTTAAAAAACGAAAATACGTGACAGGAGGAAATAATTAGTGTCAGTGCAGAAATATTGGAGTTAAAGGAATGAGAAAATAATAATAGTGAGTGCAAAAATGAAACTTTAAGAAAAAAAGGTAAGTTGAACTGTCAAATATGGGCCCAATGCGGCATAGGCTGATTTCAATGCGCCACAGCAAAAGCAACTTTGACTGGTTTGAATGGCGTGAAATAGGTAAACAAACATTTTCTAACACATTTGTCTCCGTACACAGACACTTTTCACTAAATCTGCCAACGTACAATTGGTAAGCATCTTCTAAATTACAATAATCGAAAATATTGTTTAGATTCATGCAGAAACGTGGTTATAAAATAAAAAATTGGAAAGTAATGTAATGCAAATCATATGTCAGCTGGGCCACTGTGTTCGCTCGATTCGCTCTGCTTGCTTCTGCCCTCTACTGGCGACTTGCACTATGTACCGATTGTGTACCGCATTGAAAGCAGCCTACGCCGCATTGGACTCATATTTGACAGTTCAACTTACCTTTTTTTCTTAAAGTTTCATTTTTACACTCACTATTATTATTTTCTCATTCCTTTAACTCGCATATTTCTGCACTGACACTAATTATTTCCTCCTGTCACGTATTTTCGTTTTTTTTAAAGCTTAAAACTTGCACCGCATTGGGACCCCTTGCGATTTCCATATTCACCAGGACACCCAATGCGGTAATTCGCGAATACCGCATTGGCAGGTTGGCACTTGCAATACGGAATCCCGTACCTCCCAATACTTTTTTTTACAGGGTCATTTCAGAAATTAATCTTTTGTTAAGTGAAGGTTCTCTGTCAAGAATTTTGAAATTTCGCCAATCAAAACTATGTCCATGATTCTGTTTATGTACAGCGACGACATTGTCTTTAGATGTATTTATGTATAATTTACATTGTCATATGCTCCTTGATTCGTACACCAACCATCCTCTTTGTTTGTCCTACGTAAAAGGCGGAACAATCGAGGCAATTGATTTTGTAAACAGCATTGGTGGTCTCTGTTTTAGGAATGGGACCTTCTTTATGAAATTGTTGATCTGCCAGTTTCATTGCACGGTAAACTAAATTATAAATTATTGCAATTTTTTTGTAAGAAAGGATGTTTTGACATAAAGTTTAAGAATCTCCCAGAAAAGGTTGGTTTAGTGTACCAATCAGAAAGCAGTACATTATTTTGTTTATTCTCAATTTCATAGGTAAATTGTAGTCTTTCGTCGTGAAAGTTAAACACATCAACGGATTCATTCACACTACAGTCAAGTGGTACGCACATAACAATAAAGATGAACTTCGGCATTTAACCGATTTTTATAAAGAAAACTTTTGGAATAAATAAATAAACATTTCAAGATATTGGATAAATTTGCATCTTAGGATGTTTATTTATGTATCCAAAAAAAGTTTTTTCATGAAATAATAGCCAATATTGTGCCAATTATTGAGTCTGAGCGATTTCTCACTAGATAGCCATGCAAGATTTTCATTTGTTTCTAAAATGAACAATTAATATTGCATGCCATAATTACAATTAATTATCTATTGTGTAGAATAGGAGATTTCTCGCGTAATCTTCGAATCGGTGGGAGAGACGATGACTTTTGGGGATCGACCTCCGATTTGTGAGATTTAGTTTATGATTAATTACTTTATCGTCGTAAGGAGTCTTTTATGAACCACTTGGCACTTCAAGGGGGAGACGGGGTCAAGCTATTGACTACGATAAGAGGAAAATGTGGCGCTAATACATCTAACAGCATGCCACATGGGGAGGAGGGGGTTGAAATTTCCAAAAAATGGGGCCACTTGGTTTATGGATGTCTCCTCACTCCAGATCGATGGACCGATTCACGTCACTCGTCGAAGTGCCGGCCGAGGACACTGAAAGGTGAGCCTCCTTTTTATCTATTTGAAATATATTGATTCCTTTGTCTAGAAATTAATTTTTTTTATTACAAATCTATGAAATTAAATTTAAATGAATTATATTATGTGTGGCGAATTAAGTGGACGGACGTTTAAGATGAATGGAAAGGTGAAAATCTTGTCTGAGGACCTATTAAATGGATGAATATTTGAATTTATCTATATTTGGACAATTTAACAAAGGAAGAATACTCAAATTCACTAAAGACGTTCCCAGTTTACGTCCTAGGAATCTCCCTCCAAAAGCGAGAAAGCCTCATATATTGAATTTATTGATTTCGACATTAATTGTTTTCAATTTTTATTTATTTGTGCTTAAAGCGAAAATACTGCTAGATTTCCAGTAATTCATTCAGTACTTGATCCAATAAATAATTTAGTAATTAATCCAGTAATTTATCTCGTAATTATTTTTTATAAGGTCTGACATATTTTTGTACATTGTAGTAAAATATAAAGAAGCTAGGACCTATTGAAAGTTAGATACATCGGTTAAAAGTTAATATTCGCAGTGGCGGTTGCGCTGCCTAATTGAGTAGTGGGAGAGTGTAGATCTATTGAACAGTAATATTTTGTTATGAAGTGTACCGATTTTTATGGGACACGATGAAAAATCCTTATCAGAAAATTTTTGTTTTTATTTTCCTTAAGGGGTTACATGGGTCAAAACGACCTGAAAACGTATGTTTTTTTAATAATTCTTTTTTCATAAAATAAATAAATTTTTTTATTTGAACACTTTGGTATCTGAAAGTACACTATTAAATAAGAAAGATATTAAATTTTTTATAAAAAATATTAAAAATCAGGCCCGTAGCAACAGTTCTTCGGGCCCCTTTAAAAAAAAATTGCTTTTGCGGTGGTCAAGATATCTTTTGACTGCTTCATCTAAAATCAAAATACAAAAAATTTTCTGTTAGTGGGTGAATATATCTCGTGATTGAACAAAGGGTTTTCAAAGAAATTGAAATTTGGATGTTTGACAGTGTCTTTTATCAAAAGTTAAAATTTTTAGAACCATTAAGACCATGTAAAATCGGTTCTAATCAACAAAAAAAATATTCCTTCGTTCAATCACGAGCTATACTCATCCACTAACAGAAAATATTTGGTTTTTTGATTTTAAATGAACTGGTCAGAAGATATCGTGACCACCGCTTTTTTGGAAGGGTTCTCAAAGAACCTGTAGGTACGTCCCTCCCTCTGAGCAAAAGGATATCCCAGGGATATCCTAGAGATATCTCGCGAAGTATTGAGATATCCCAGGGAGATCCCTGGGATATTTGTGGCATCTTAGAGATATCCCTGGGATATCCAAATTTCCATCCCATGGGAGACTCGCGCGGGATATCCAAATATAAAAATTAGTAGCATATCCACACGGGATATGCTACGTGAGAAATAGTAATATGTTATAAAATAATTAGAGCTTTAAAGAGTTGAAAAACCATTATTAAATTATAACTAGTATGAGAAAAAAAATATTTCAAAAATAAAAGATTATTTGACTAATATCAAAGTTATTTGTTTGTGATTTAATAAACATTAGTTGAATTCAATAAAATGTCTTTTTGACGCTAAACATTTATTGTGTGTGGGTTTAAACTAATTTTGGTCAATTCATATTGTCTATTACTGACAAATATTTATTGGTTAAAGATATTTACAAGAAACTAAAAAAATGTGAAAGTTAAACATATTAAACAGCAACACTTATAATCACACACTGCAAAACACAAACTTCTGATGCGCTTCTGATCTAATGACGCGACGCCATGGTCGCCATGACACGCAACAGCTGGGAAGGTCAACGCCTGCGCGTGTAAG